AGGTTCTAGTCTCAGCCCCAGCATTTGGCATTGAAGTGACCTTGGCTAAATCATCTATACAATGAGGGAGCTGGACTAAGGTAGCTCTGAGGTCTCTTCCAGCCCTAGAGCTAGGATCCTATGATCTTTTCTGAACTGTAGTCTTCCCATCTGCAAAATGGGCATAGAGGTTTTACTTGTGAAGAAAATGTTTGCTACATATATCAAGGAGTCTTCCCAGAACCTGCCCTCCTCATGGCCTTGCTGGCCCTTCTCTAGAAAGACCCCGGGCCAGCCCTAAATCTCCCTTCTCAATGGTCAGAGCCCTCCGTCCACGCAAGCTACTGCTCCATGAGAACTCTGGCTCACTGGAGTCCAGGGCTGGAGCCTTGGGGCTGACCAGCCTCCTCACCCATACCCCTACGCGCGCGCGTGCACGCACACACACACACACACACACACATACATGCATACACATACATACCACATACCACACACACATATACACCACACAAATGCATACACACACCACACACACATACACACACTACATACCACACACACCACGCACCTGCATGCATACATACACACACCACACACATATACACACATGCATACACAGACAGCACACACACATACACACCATACCACACCACACATACACATACACATACCACACATGCATACATACCACATACCACACACACATATACACCACACAAATGCACACACCACAGTACACACCACATACATGTACGCACACAACACACATGCCTGTGTACACATACCGCATGCCACACACATACATACCACACACCACACGCATACACAGACACCACACACACACACATGCATATACACACACACCATATACACACACATATTTCTGGCCCCTTCTCCAGGCCAGGCAGCACCCCACAGGCAAGCTCTGTGTTTTCCAGTCCCTTTCTCCCCTGCAGTTCCTGCCTCTCAGAATTAAGGTTTTAGATTCCCCTTCATGTTGGACTGCAGGGCCTCTGAGATTGTTTAGTCCACTATCTCTACTTAACAGAGAGGGAAGCTGGTCCTGGTTCTGCTACTAACCAGCTATGTGCTTTCAGCCATGTCACCTCTCCTCCTGGTGCCTCAGTTTCCTCTTCTGCAAAATGAAGGGCTTGGAATTGAAGGCCTTTGGGATCCTTTCTAGCAGTGTCTAGGACAGGGGAGAGGGGCTTGCCCACAGTGGCTAGCCAGTAGCAAAGCAACAACTGCTCAAATAGAAAAGCTACCAGGCGCCCCGTAGCCCCCAGGGCCAAGATTCTGGAATGACAGAGCTAAGGTCACTGCCAGTAAGCCACTGCCCCCATGGCTGCCTCCCCAGGAAAACTGGAGCATTTGGAATGGAGGCTATGGAGGGAGGAGGGAAGAAAGTGCTTTAGCTTTACAAAGCAGGCTGTCATCCCCCACCACCACTGCTTTGAAATAGCCCTTTTTATAAATAATAGTGTATTCACAGTTATCTCTCCAGCCCCCTCCATCTCTCTCTCTCTCACACGCGCACACACACACACACACTTTCAGATTTACACTTTCTTCTCCACACTGTAATCCCGTGAGACAGATGCGAGTATCTCCATTGCACAAAGGAAGAAGCCAAAGGTCTGTGTACTACAGTGGACTCGAGTTATAGGACCTGAGGTCCTGGCCCAGGGGTCTCCCTGCTCTGTCTGGGCCTCAGTGCTCCCAAGGTACCAGGAATCTTTCTACCCAGCACTGATGGCTCCTCTTGGCTTAGTTCCCCCCACCTCCAATGGGAAGAGACCAAGCTAGCCAGGCACAGATTGAAAGAGACAGAGAAGGAAGTGACATCTTTTGAGGCCAGGCCTAGGGGGCAACTGGGAAAATCAAGGAGACAAGTCCAGGTGAAGCGAAAAAGGCAACGGACACAGAACGAGTGTGGCCTGCCCCTGTCTACACTTCACCATTCTACCAGCAATGAACAAGACCAGGTGGTCAGCTCCTCATACGGCCTCACCAACAGCACGTTGAGAAGCAAATGGAGAGAGGTGAATGGAGGAGGGGGGAGAATACCAGAACAGCCCCTCCTCTTCACGGTGAGCCCTGCCCTGCCCCTCCCCCCTCCAATTTCTGACCTCTCGGAAAGCCAGGAGTTGGCCGGTGTCTGGCCACGAGTGTCTCCTTCCCTCCTTTGCCCTCTTTCAGGAGAAAGAGCCATGATGGGCTTCAGAGTGAACTCTTGGGTTTGGCGCCTGCCCGACCGTCTTCTCGTAGCTGTTCTGTCATGTCTTGTGCCTTCGATTCTATGCAGAGTATACAATATCTGTACATGTTCTGGCCATGGGCTTGTATGGCTCATCAGAACTCTGTGACATGAAACTGCTTCAAGAAAGAAGGGGGGCGGGGAGGGGCACTGGTTCTGATTGGCCAAAGCCAAATTAACCACGATCCTTAGTCCAACGAGATGAGCAGCGCAGCCGGGAGAGCCGTGGCAGAAGACAATGCGCTCCCGGGCAATCCCAGAGGGAGGTAGTGTGCATCCCCACCACATTGGCTGCAGGACACCCTTTTGGTGGTTAGGATCAGGGCACAGTTCTCTTTATCTGCAGCGAGAGAAAACTTCCAGGCCAGTAAGAGGTGCGGCCCTTGGGGTACGCTCAGGAGGGAGCCACTTGGCTGGATTGCAGTTGCGTGAGGGTCTGGGTTTCACAGAACCAGAGCAACGCTGGGGCCCAGGCAGGCTGGGAGGCGTATGCACAAGTCGGCTTCCATTTTCTCCAATGACTGAGTCATTGAGGTGGCTGGTGGAACCTACAGTCGGCTTCAAAATGTGAATAAGGGAATGGAATCGATGCCCCTCTGGTCTCTTCCAGCTTTAAAATCTTATTCTCCCATAATCCTAAACTTCTGAATATTCTGTGTTCTCAGCAGAGCCATAATGAAGGCAGGGTGATTAGGGCTTTGGCCCAGGGCACTGCCATCTGAGGAGCCTGCCTCCACTTTCTCCCCATACCAAGACTCAGGGACTTCTGCTGGGCCTTTCCACATATGGCCCTGATGCTTTTAAGCTACACTCTTCCCCACAGAGCCCTCTCCTCCTGCCAAGCCCCTTGAGGCTGAAGGCTGAACAACCCCTCTCTCTCACTGACAACTGCACCCACCATCAGACTACCTTCTGCACTAATCTACTTCTAGCTCTTATTGTAAGGTCCCTTCCAGCTCTGCTGTCTGCTAGGTGACACAGTAGATACAGTAGTAGTCAAGAAGACCTGAATTCAAATCCTGCCTCAGGCACTCACTAGCTGTGTGACTGTGGCCAAGTCACTTAGCCACTCTGTGACTCAGTTTCCCCATCTGTAACATGGGAACAATAAAAGCGCCTACCTCTTCCAGGATTGTGGTGAAACTCAAATGAGATAAACTATGCGAAGTGCTTTGCAAACCTTAAAGTGCTATATAAATGCTAGATATTATTTTTATCATCATCATTATTATTATCCTAAGATTCTAGGTTGGAATATGTGCCCCTTGAGACTCTGAATGCCTACCACCCATGCATGTCAATCCCTACCCCCTTAATGTGCTCGGGAGCCCCTTCTCCCGCTCCTGCCTCAGTCACACGTAGGCACTTCTCCTGCCCAACTCCATGCTCCCCTCCCCCCTTCTCCTCAGATGGAAACTCTATCTCAGCTCACACTATCCTTCCCTTCTGTTTTATAGGACGGTTGTGGCAAGAGGGATGGCCCAAGGAGAGAGGACTGGGGAGTAGGGGGGACAACAACAGCCTGCCTTTCATTTGTTTCTTCTTCCCGTGGAAATGAGAGGGTTGCAGCTGGCTGCCGCAGATATGGATGGGATGAGAAGGCCTCTGGCTGCTGCCTTGGGTTTCACTGTAGGAATGGTCCAACCTCTGGCTAGGAAGGGTGCACATCTGGGAGATGAGAAGGGGGCTGGGAGGCAGGCAAGAGGAGAAAGGAGAATAGGGGGAAGCAGGGGGATGGGGAGAAAACACATGTAGCCTGTACATGGTCTGAGATGAATTACCTGTGTGTGTCAGAGGAAATCGATTAGGCACAGGGGCCCGCTGCCCAATATGGAAGAGTGTGGGCCAGGGGGTGGGCCTGGGGCCCCAGAGAAAGGGAGAGGCAGGGGCCTGGACCAGGGAGCACCAGGAGGAAGGAGGCTTCCAGGACAGGGCCAAGGAGAAAAGTCCAGACTCTCCAGGCGAAAGCAGAATGAGCCATTGGGCTGGTTACAAGGGTGCCTCCCCATCCAAAAGATCAATGATTCCTGTGCCTATCATCCCCCAGGCCAGCCTTGCTTACCCCCTGCAGAGTTTCATCCCCCCCCTCCCCAGCCCTTGCTATCCCTTCGAAGAAAAGCCTTCCTCCCTCAGATACGGGATCCCTGTGCAGACCCAGTGAAGTGACTGGTCTACTCTGCTGCTTAAGCCAGGGACCAGGGACCTTGTCCCAAAGGTGACCAAGCCATCAGCTAAGGACAGAAAGACCAGCCTAGCACTGGTGCAGAAATTGGAACTGGAAGGTGCTTTGAGGGATCGTGGCCTCAGTTCTGTGTCCCAGCAGGACGTCCATCCTGTGGCTCTCCACAAGGCCACCAGCCCCTCCTTCTACCATGGCCAGGTGAAGGGGGTGGGGGTGGAGCAGAGCATGCTTCAGCAATTCAGTACCCTCAGGCCATTGAATCTGTTTCCAAGTGACAGAGACAAGGAGATTTAGGGCAGTGAGCCCCTCTCCACCTTGGACTTGTACAATTGCCACCTCATGCAGAGTGGGCCCCTAAGCACTGGAGTGGGCCCTTTTGGCTTTGTAGAGGGGTTGGGGAGCTTTGGGGAGCTCATTTGTATATGAAAAGGTCAATGAGGAGGACATCTACTACTGAGCATTCACTCCTCACACCTTCCCTCTTGGAGCATGCAGCCAGGGCAGGGACCTGGGGAAGGAGTTGAGAGCCCCAAAGCCCAGGCCTCAGGAACCCCGGGAGCCCAGACCCTCAGAGCTCACCTCTTCTCTGTTCAGCGGTTTGTTTCACTGCCTGCCTTTTGCCTAGGTCCTTGGGCTGCTGGAGGGACAAGGAAGAAATGCCAGGAGGTCTGGAGAAAGCAGAGAGTGCCCAGGATCTAGGCGAGAGCTTGGCCATTCCCTCCCATCATTCAGCTGGAGTGTTGGATTCTCTGGGCAGAGGGGAGCCGCCCGTTGTTTTCTTTGGACTTCGGTGTCCCCTGTAAGCAAAAGCAGCCACTGTGACGGGCAGAATGGAAACTGTTTCAAGTCCTGGCTCGGTCTCCCACCTCACTGGGCAAGACCTTGGCCAAGTCACTGCGTGTAATGCCCCGGGCCCTCCTACCACACCTATCACAGCCTCAGCAAGGGGGCACAGACCATTGCCCTCTGGCTTGTGGGGAATGTCTTCCTTAAACAGAGGGGGTCTGCCTTCTGCTACTGCCACCATCACACCCAGTTCTGCTTTGCAGAGCCAAGCAAACAAGTCTGATACCTCTTTCACATGCTAGCCCTCAGGTACTTGAAGACAACAGCTCTGTGCCACTCGCTCTCCCCAAATCTTTTCTTCTCTGGGCTACATAGCCTCAGTCTCTCTAATCAATGCTCACACATTTTCAAGTCCCCTCATTGGCTCAGTCATCTTTCTCTGGATACCCCCTCCCCCCCACCTCCAGCTCAGCTATGTCCCTCCTAGAATGTGACTGTCCCAGAACTGAAGCCCGGGCTACAGGTAGGGTCTGACAAGGCAGAAGGAGGATGGGGGACCGTCACTGCCCTCACTGCCAGGGGCTGTGCCCCTGTGAATTCAGACTAGCAAGGGATGAACCTTTCAGCTGCCAAGGTACACTGCCGACTCCTGGGGCCCCAGAGAAAGGGAGAGGCAGGGGCCTGGACCAGGGAGCTTCTGAACAGGCGCCCCTCCCCTCCCCCAGGCCGTTCCATTTCATCTAACCCAAACAGAGAACTTTACATTTTTATTCATTAAGTTGTAAGTTTAGCCTTTCATTCGAGACTTTCGAGACAACTGAAATGTCTTCAGAGCCAAATTCTGGGCTATTGCAACTTCATGGCATCAGCAAATGATAAGTAAGTCATCTATGTCTTTACCTAAATCATTGATAAAAATGTCAACGGAAAGCGTCAAGGGAAGAGCCCTGTGGCACTTGGCTAGAGCCCACCCTCCTGCCGGGGATCTCTTAGGGTGTGGACCTTCATCCACTTCTGAATCCAACTAATGGCACCATCATTGGTGAACCCCAATCTCTCCACCGTGTCCATAAGGCTAGCACCAAGGCTCCCTCAAACCCCTCACAGAGTATTTCATCTGCTGCATGGCCCTGACCAGGCAACTCTCTCAAACAAGCAAAGTCAGTTAGCACAGCACGGCTAGGCTGGCTCTCGATGGACCTATGTTGGCTTTTTGTGATTGTCGCTTCCCTTTCTAAGTGCTCACAACCTATCCCTTTGAGCATATGTGTTAGTTTTTGCTGGGATACACCAGACTACATCTTGAAGAATTTACCTTGGAACAATGGAGACATTTGTCCCCTGTCAATGCTGGGACTTTGATTTTCCATGATTTTTCAAAGATCAAAAGCAACAGCTAAGCAGCCAGGGAGGTGAGCTCTTTACATTAGGTCACAGGGGTGGGGAACCTGCAGCCTCGAGGTCACATGTGGCCCTCCAGGTCCTCAAGTGTGGCCCTTTGACTGAATCCAAATTTCATAGAACAAATCCCCTTGATAAAAGGATTGCTTCTGTAGAACTTGGGACTCCGTCCTAAGGCCACATCCAAGGACCAGGAAGGCCACACATGGCCTCAAGGCTGCAGGTTCCCCACCCCCACTAGACTAACATGGTTCATCTAGGTTTGGGGACTTGGGTACTCCCTTCCCAGTACCTCGGCTTGGGTTCCAATTTCCTGGTAAGCATTTTTATTCTCTACCTGCCAGCCTCAAGAGCATGTACTCTGCTCAGTAGAGAATGAATGTGCATAATGGGAATGGAATCGTTCTGCCTGCTCTGTCATCCATTCTCATCCTCCCATATGCTCCTAGGAGGCCCCTGTCCCTTCTTCAGTCTTGTGGAAATAAGGCTGAAAATGTCTTTTTGTCTCCTCAGCTCATTCCAGGTCTCAGTGTGCCAACCCCTCTGCTTCTAGAAGTCACTATTCTTCCTAGTTGTCTTCCAGGACTTACATGTGCTGCCATCTTCTGCATCTAGCTTTTAATAATCGGAGTTGCCAGGGAGTTCCCTGTGCAGTCACACCAGTTTCTGGAGGCATTTTCTTCCTTTCTTCTTCCACTCTGTCTCTATCACAGACTTTAACCCTCTCCCCCATATTCTCAGCATTTCTAGGTCAGTTCGTGACTCCAGTCCAGAATGCCACTTCCCCTTGTCACTGCCTTTCCCTTTTGAAGAATAAAATTCTCATTAATTAACCTCCCCAGGGCTCAGTGTTCTCCTCTATAACATGAATTTAACAAGTGCTTCCCTGGGGAAAGGATCCATTGAATCAACTAGTCAGTGTCAAAGGGCTTTGGGGCCAGAAGACACGGGGCAAATGTGGAGCCCCATTTTGGCTGCCTGATTTGGGTCAGGGGAGCCTGGGCCATAGCTTCACTTAGTACCTTCCATAGCACCAGCCTTTGAGCCCTACCAAGGCCAAGTGCGAAGGGGTTATAAGCAGCAAAGCCCAGCATCCTCTACCTTCTTCAGTGGGGAAGGCCCCACTTACCTACCCACACAACAGAACTGCCAGCGTGAGCCCTCTTTGTTGTCCGGCTTTCCTGCTGCAGATCTGTCTCTTCCCCGCCACAGGGGCTCTCCTTCCAGGGCCTGGCTAGAGTCCCAGATCCTGTCCTGTACCTCCCAGACTGGAGACAGTGGAGCCAAGCAGGAAGAGCCCTGGACCAGTATCTGGGACACCTGGATTCCTGACTCATCTTTGTCGTGGCTTTGCAGTGTGATGCCGGCGATGTTCCCAGGTCCTTGGGGCTTTGGCCTTTCCTTCCAAGGGGTCCCTGGCCCCTTCTAAACTCCACTGAGGTGGTGGAAAGGTGTTCAAGCCAGGCTGGGAAGGTGAGCTTTCTACCTGTCGGGTCTACATTCACTGAGCAGCTCTGGGCTCCAGCTGCCAGGCCACAGGCTGAGGAAGCCTCCTCATCCTGTTCTATGGAAGGCCCATTATCTCAGCTGTGCTGCGCTGGCTTCCTGAGCAGCCCCGAATTAGCCTCTGCTCTCAAGTGTTTCTGCCAGCTATCTTGGCCTGCTCTTCGGGAAAGGGAGGGAGAGAGGGGGGAGGGTGTGAAGCGGGGGAGCTGAGCAGCAGATTCCCAGGAAGGAACTCCAAGGCTAATTAATTCTCTCTCTCTCATTTGAAAGGGAATGCACCCCGACCCACACAGAAGCCAGACTTAGAAGAAGGAATTTTTGCACCTGGGGCAAGTGGTAGAAGGCACCTAGATGAGGGGGGGCAGGGCAGGTGAGAAGTAGGATGAGATGGGGGTAGGAGTCCACCCAAGCCTCCCATCCGGTATTTTCCTCTTTTAACAAATTCTTTGTACTGACTAGATGTTAAGCTCTGTTGTTTCTATTCTGCTGGAGGACTGCAAGTACATTGGGTACCCCCCTTCAATCCAGGGTCCTGAAGAAAAGGCCCAGCTGCCCTGCCCTAGTTCTAACTCTGACAAAAATCCCATGCATGCACACACACAGTGTCATCCAGAAGGGTTGCTGGGAATCCTTTTTGCTCCTGGTGCGTTAGGCTAAGCCTGTCCAGCTTCAGTCTCATACAGGCCTCCCCGAGTTTCTGATCGAAATCAAGGCCTCTTCTCTCCCCCTTTGCAGCAGCTCTGGGCTCTCCTATCTCAGGACCACCAGGGTTTCTGAGCTTCTGTCCTTGCTGCTTACCACAGGCCTTCTTGAAGAGATGGCAAAGGGGCTGGAAAGGAGTTCCTGAGGGGAAAGGCCAAAGCACTGGGGCTTATTCAGCTAGAAGACCAGTATCCAAGGAGCCTGGCAGGGCAAAGGGGAGAAGCTGCCTAGAGTGAGGGGCCTTCCATGGAGGCTCAGCTAAGGATGGGACAGAAGGAACATGCTGGTAGAGGGGAAATGAACCCAGGCCTGGGCCTACGGGCTGGCCCAGAGTGCTCGTCTTTGGGTCTCCATTTCCTGTCTAAAAGGAGGGGCTTCCTTCCACCACACAACCTTGTCTAAGGCTCAAGCCCTCCTGCCCACAGGGATGTCACTGTTTGGAGGCAGCGGCCTTCCACCTCTAACCTTTGGGGACTCTGGGACTCAGAAAAGGGCAGAAACAGTCACCTAAGGCAGGCAGAGGAAGGAGCATGACACAACATCACAGGGGTGACTAAAAGAGCTTAGGGAATGCCTTCAAGAACCGCGCTCCCTGGAGGCAGTGGGACGACCTCAAAACCATCTGCCCCAGGTGCCCTGACCACCTAACACTTTACCCCTTGGAGGCAGCTGCTTTCCCATCTCTGCTTCCCCTTCTCCCCAGCTTTCTTTTCGGCTCTTTAGGGGGAGGGGTGTGCTATGGACCAGCCCCATGCCTCACCATCAGTGGCAGGGCAGGCCTTCTCCCCTGCTGTGACCAGGCTAGCCCAAGGCTTCCTCTAATGGCAACAGACAAAGGCAGCCCGGAGCAGCAGGGCCCACTGGAGTGTTCCTTAATGAGCTCCGGAGCTCGTTGCAGCTCGCTCATACGCACTCTCTCTCTCTCTCTCTCTCTCTCTCTCTCTCTCTCTCTCTCCCTTCTCTGTTTCTCTCCCCTTCTCTTTCATTCTCTCTCCCTTTTTCTTTTTTTCTCTGTCTCTCTCTCTCTGTCTCTCTCCTCTCTTTCTCTGTCTCTCTCCCCTTCTCTTTCATTCTCTTTCTCCCTTTCTTTCTCTCCTCCCTCCACCTTTTTCTCCCTTTTTCTCTCTCTCTCTCTTCTCTCTTTGTCTCTCTCCCCTTCTCTTTCATTCTCTCTCTCCCTTTCTTTCTCTCTCCTCCCTCCACCTCTTTCTCCCTTTTCTTTTTTTCTCTCTCTCTCTTTCTCTCTCCTCTCTTTCTCTGTCTCTCTCCCCTTCTCTTTCATTCTCTCTCTCCCTTTCTTTCTCTCTCCTCCCTCCACCTCTTTCTCCCTTTTTCTTTTTTTCTCTGTCTCCCTCTCTCTCCCTTTCTCCCTCTCTCCCTGTCTCTTTCCCTTTTTCTTTCT